AAAGTGCGTATGGTCCGGCGACACACAGACACACAGACAGACAGACAGATTCACGATTTTATATATATAGATAGCTGGATTCACTCTCCCATTAAGCTTCACAGCATAACTACATCAGCTCAAGCCTACCGTAAATCACGGGACATCTGTATGGCCACCCCCACTGTCAAACCCTCCCCTCTCCTCGCTCCCTGTGATAACAGACGCTGCTCCGTGCAGCTGAGTCGAGGCCCTTGCCGTAGCCTTTTCCTCCCGATCCTCATCTTTCCAGACCATTTTGGTACAATTTTTCCATTCCTTTTCCTCTTAATTCCCATTCTTTGCCTTCTTTTATCCTCCACGTTCACTTTTCGTTTCATGCCCTTCACTCTACGCCCCTTCCCATGATGTGCCACTGGTAAAAGTACCTCGTTGATGTCTTATCGCAGAAGGGAATGGTGTGGCAAATGCCATTTCCAACCGACATTATCTTTTTTTAGAACTGCTTTTTGTGTTTAAGTTTATGTCCTTTCCCGGCACCTCTGATTAGCACGGTTGGCTACGTACGGTACGAAAGAAGTTCAACATACACACTGCCGAAATTGACCACGATATAGGCAACGCTTAGGTCAGGTTCTTATTCAATTTTAATACCCCAGCAGCAGTTGTAGTTGGGCCACTGGCCTCCAACTATGGTATGCAGGACATGAAACAAGCTTATGGGTTTAGGCTTGCACTCTACGATGAGGATGAGGGCTGTTTGCCAGCACTGATGATGCTCTCGTACACGAGGGGGCAGTGTGGGCCAATAACACGCTCAACCGTCTTTGTCTCCACGGTACTGCTGTTGACCAAACCAGCGATGCATCATTTTAGGCCGAGTTTATCTTTAGTCGTGACCAAGAACCCCACTTAAGTCGCTGGGGTCATAGAGTCAACCACGATGCTACCGCTCCCCATAAAGAATACAAAAAGCCTCAGACTTTGTGAGCAAATTCTCTCAGAGATTGCTTCATACTGCGATGATGACATGGCACACAAGGGGGTTAGTGTGGTCAAATTCATTTATTTAACAGCTTTGCCTGGTATACAGGAGGTCGTGGGTTCGCTCCGGACCCTGACACCTGTATATTTGGAGTTTGCTTGTTCTTCCTGTGGTCGTGTGGATTTTTCTCCGGGTCCTCCGGTTGTTCCTCCACATTTAGAATCAACATCACGCATTTCGAGTCTTTGGCTGCTATTCATTTCCACATGATAAGCCACATCGTTGAGCTATGATTTTTGGTCAGGTTGCTTCTGAAAAAGAAGCTAATAGCTCAGTGGGATTTACCTGATGTAATAAAAAAATATATATAACTTAGTTTTACTTGCATTTTTGTAGTAATTTGCTTATCTTTCTTTCCTATACTTTACACTCCTGTCGTGTTTTTGTATTGTTTGTTGTAACATTTTAACCAGCCCCGACTGGACTCTGTGAAAAGGGGTTTAGAGCTCATCGGATTCCAAGAACACAGGATGAGATGTTACTATCCTTTGTGCAAGCACTTCCAAGAGTTCATGAACAGTGAGCCTGGTGAAATTTGGGGAGCGCATCGTCAGTAGTGTACCTTTGGTTCCTAGGGTGTTTCGACCTTTCATACTATATACCCTCCCCAAAGGCGGCCAGCGACAGGGTGATCAATCCAACGCTTGCGTCCCATTCCCAATTAGTCATAGGAGTTGCCTTGTTGTTGATAGCCAACATCCCATGGGACTATGCATGGCAGGGGTGTCCTCCTCCCTGAGTCAAGCATTGTTGACCGCATACCTCCTGGCCCTCTCACTTCGGGGCCCAGCTGGGGTCTTTCCTCTTCATCCAGAGCCACTGACTGCTGCCTTCTGCCGCCTCCGATACAGCTCTGATTGCCGAACGCTGGCTCTGGCCCTTAATTCCCAGGTCTCTAAGCAGTCTGGTTGTAGATGTTGCCACAAAACCTCTGCAGCCCACCTCCACTGGTCGGACTTTTGTGTTCCGGCCATGATGCCGTGCTTCGGCAGCTAGATCGGCATAGCGCAGATGTTTTCGCTCATAAGCCTCATCTACTGAGTCCTCCCAGGGTACTGTGAGCTCAATGATGAAGACCTTCTTGAGCGAACGGGACCAGAGCACCATGTCAGGTCTTAGGGTGGTGGTTGCGATCTCCAGAGGAAACACAAGTTGCCGGCCAATGTCAGCTAGCATTACTCCAGTGTAAACATTGTGATTCTGATTCACTGTGCCCCCCCCCCCACGCATTCAAGCAAAACCGGAAGCATTGCATCTGACACCGTGACATCGAAGTGCGGGGGGCCCCCCAAAGCACGGGGCCCGGGGCGGTCACCCCGATTGGCCGTCCTCTAGGGATAGCTCTCCGTTTATAGTATACCCCTGGTGATGACTTTATAGACGTGAATCAGGGTTTCCTAAACTCACCAACCTAACGTCTTTTTGCGCTCACCAATTTACTCGACCCATTCAAATATACATATTCATCGAGCCAATTGAAATTCTTAATTTGAAACTTTCGTGACTGCAGGAATTACTCTTTGGTTCTTTCGGTAAAGTCACGTATAAAGATAAAATAATAAATTAAATAATAGCATACTACGACGTTTCGATTGCAACACAAGCAATCATCGTCAGGTATAAAAGAAAGAAATAGCAACAAAAATCTAACCAGAAAACTATAGACAGACATATAAGCAGACAGATATCACCAAGATACACAGAGAGGACACGCATCGGCACAAAGAGAGAGATCGTCTCTGTGACGGGGCCTTTTGTTGCTATTTCTTTCTTTTATACCTGATGATGATTGCTTGTGTTGTAATCGAAACGTCGTAGTATGCTATTATTTAATTTATTATTTTATCTTTATACGTGACTTCACCGAAAGAACCAAAGAGTAAGACCAATTGAAATTATGCGTGCGCGCGTGTCCCACGTGTGTGTACACATGTTGCACGTTACGCAGACAGTGTGGATTGCCTAGCGCGTCACGTGGGACGTGTTTAACAATAAGCAGGTGCGTGCAGCGCAGAACGAGTAAAAAAATTGTTTTAACGGCAGAGTAAATTGGTGAACGCGGAAAGACGTTGCGTGGTGGTGAGGGGGGGTCGTGAGGACTGGAGTTTGGGAAACCCTGCATTCATGGGGTTTACGTAACTCGTAAGCAGGTACCCATGCGTGATGCTAAATCATTAAATATTGTAGTACTTCATTGTTGTTTTAATAGACGCGATGGTGCGTACCACCACGACGTGTACCTACATTCTTCCATAGCAGGATCTTCTTCCTTCCCTATTAATGTCTGATTTATTTACTTTGTCGAAATTGGGAAAACGTACTCATTTTTGCATTTACTGTAATAGCGAATGTTTATTTTAGGTCTACTTAAATGCACTGCTATTCTTGTTAGCTAATTTCGGAAAAAATTACCTTTCCCGTTACAGAAATGATTGTCACATGCACGTCCATAAAATTATTTTTTTCTATGACTTTAGGTTTGTGGCTTAAATCAAAATGTAAAAAAGCAAAGTAAATTGGGTGATTTGTTTTGTATATATCCTTCTCCAAAGAAAGTTAAAACTAAATCGGCATTCAAAGAAACAAATATTTTATAAAAAATGGCTTTAATAAAGTCCCACAGTTGAATACTAAGCCTGAGTGAATAGAAATGTGGTGTCAATTGTGTTGTGCTCACCCAAATCTCGCTAATAAAACAAATGTTTACCACAAATGTGCTAAAAACTTCAGTCATGCAGTGTTTGAAAGACACGAAAAGAGTGCTGAAATGTGTAAAAGTTATTGATACTATGTCGGCTGCAAATCTGTCAAGAGGAAAGATCAAGATGTCCACTATTTTAACTTGTATTTCATGAAGCCCATAATTCCTTATAAGGGAAACAAATACCAATGAATAACAATTGCATGATGACTAATCTATATAATTACAATACCCTCCCCCTCCTTGCCTCGAATCACTGCACCAGATTGAATTGAATTAAATGATGACATCACCCTGATGCTGCTCTATTTAAGACCGGAAGCAACAGGAGAGCTTCACCGTTCTTGCCCGATGAAGCTGATTGTAATTATCAGCGAAACGTCGTACTCATTTTAAAATGCTGTTGATTCTCTCTTCAGCACACCGGTGAGCTAAAGAAGTCAATTAATTTGTCCTTTGAAAACGTGACACATTTTTTACTGTTTGGCCGTGTCGGGTGGTGGAGGGTTACGACACATTTATAAATAACGCGATCTGACCCAAAAACCTATATTATGAACGCATGTCCTATTCGCAACTACGAAGAAGATATTGTACTAGCAAAGTGGCCTGTATATTTGGAGTCTGCATGTTCTCTTCGCGATCACGTGGATTTTTCTTCGGATCCTCCGGTGTTTCCTCCACATTTACAATCAACATCACGCATTTAGAGTATTTGGCTGCTATACATTTCCACATGATAAGCCACTTCGTTGAGCTATGATTTGTGGCCAGGTCCCTTCTGAAAAAGAGTTATGTAGCTCAGTGGGCCTTACCAGGAAAAAAAGTGTAATGGCATATTTTCCCAGCTTCCTCGTCGCACAGCACTTTCTCTACTGAGAGCAGCCCACCCTCCTCTGTGTTCTCCTCTTATAACAATTCCACCATTCTATCAAACATTCTCCATCTTTCTGAAACAATCTGCCCCAGTCACTCCCCTTTCGCCACCTCCCCTCTCTCTAACCCTCGCCCCCTACCATCATTCCACGCCTCTCGCTCCCTCTTGGCCAATCCGGTGAGCAGTTGACAATTACGCAACCCATTCTGGCCACTGCCCGGTTTGACAGCCGCCGCCGGCCGATTGCAAATTTGAGTTCAATACCCCAGAAACCCATTAACGTCTAGGTCTGTCGGCGCCCTGTGTGATACCCATTTAGATACTGAGTCGTGTTCTAATTAAATATTTATTAACATTGAACATTTAATTTTATTATTACAATTTAGTGAATGGTGAAATATATTAACACAGTACTGTACGTATAATGTTGCTCAATGTTCCATCAATACATCTCTCTGTGGAATGAAAATTCGCATGCCGTTGTGGAGTACAATGTAGTACACATACTTTATTCAGAGTACAGGCAGTCCTCGACTTACAAACACCCGCACTTAACGAACCAGCGTCCAACCGTCGTAAGAAATAATTTGCAGGGCTGTACCGTTAACCTTTATCTTGTACAGAAAGCAGTTGACGTGCAAGGAGATCCGTGGTATATGCCGCCGTGACATCTGTTGTTTCGCATTTTTCGGGAATCCAATGTATAATTTCCCCGTACTTATGATCTTACACGACGTTTTGGGTTCAGCTTTAGTATTGAAAACGTACAGCTCGTGGTTCGCTCGTGCGCTGCCATTTTAGGATCTATCCCCAGCATCCTGTCTGCTGCCTCTACTCATCCACTCAAGGTGAGATCATAAAAATGATAGGTTAAGGTAACATTTTAAAAAGCTGTTTAAGATTCCGTGCGTTTTTTAAAAACTGGTTTTCTGTTAGTTGTTGCTTTAAAATGTCACAAATATTTTTCTTTTAAAATGTAGAGGGCTGCTTTGAAATGCTCAAAAATGGTTTTCAATTAAGTGTTTGGAAAGTATAAATGCTGTTTAAAGGTCCTTGAAATCAGAATTTGTTAAAAATGTGTGCATTGTACTGTACAGCATAATACAGGTAGTTTGGTTGCTAGGTATGAAACGCAACATTCCCAAAGTTACGGTGCCTATCCTTACCTTATTCCATTGTCTCTTATGGGAGAAATTGCCCCGCTTTGCGTCGCATAGGCAATGTTTATGCTCTTGCGGTCCCTATCCCCCCCCCCCTTTTCTCATTCTTACGAAGAGGGGGGGGGGAATTCCCCGTTTATACATCGTTTCGTTATAAGTGTAGTGCCTGAGATACGCGCCACACGCTGGAGTGGGAATGCGCGCGCACAGAGTTCAGTGGGAGCAAACGAGGTCGAGGTTGTTATTGTTGCTAGGCATGAGGAAAAGGCCAGAGACGGGTAGGGGGCGATTAAGGACACAGGGCACTGATTGGCTGGGAGTTGTTATTGTCGAGATGTGATGCCACGCTGTCTGAGGACGGTAACAGGTGGCAGGGAGCAATTAAGGACGGAGGGTGCTGATTGGCCGGGAAGTTGTTGTGGTCGCTAAGTGGCGCCGCATTGTCTGGGAAAACATGGCAGGTGCCAGCGGGGGCTAGGGGGCGACGGGCGTCGTGGGGGGTGCCATCGATTGATTGGAGATTAATTGACTTGGGGATAAAGAGAGGGGGTTTTGAAGCGGACAGGAGTTCACGCCTGGGAGGGAAAGAAGGATGTTGGAGCTGAAGCAGCGGAGCCAAACGCAGTGGAGAAGTATACGGTAGCAGTGGAGAAGTATAGGGTAGCACTGGGGAAGTATAAGGTAGCAGTGGAGAAGTATAAGGTAGCAGTGGAGAAGTATAGGGTAGCAGTGGAGAAGTATAAGGTAGCAGTGGAGAAGTATAAGGTAGCAATGGAGAAGCCAGCAGAAGCAGCTGGAGTGTGACGGCGAAGCCAGCAGAGAGCGGCTGGAGTGTGGCAGAGAAGCTGATAAAGATACGGATGAGTGTGACGGGAGAGCCGAAAAAGACGGAGAGAGTGGAGAGGATAGTCGACGGAGGAGAGATGGGGAGCGAGCGAGGCCGGCGGAACGCGGCGAGCGAGTGGAGAGCGCATGGAAGGAATGTTGATTGGTGTTAGCTGGAGGAATGTTGATCGGTATTAGCGAAATAAAGTGAGAGAGAAAAGCAAGAAGCTGTCGCGTCAAGTCGAGCACTACATAAGTAGCAACTTTCCAGTCCCTAACCCTGGCCAAGAACGGGGATCACCCGCCAGCCCCCCCGTATTTAGTCATTTATTTAAAGTAGAAATCGCCCGTGCCTCTTCACGCCGAATCTTGTTGCCGTTTACAGAGCTGCTTTGGTACAGCTCCACGGGGCCCACGCTCGGCCCGTTGTGGCTGTCCAGGTGCTGCAGCAGTTTGGCCACGATGCGAGCGCCGTGGTTTGGTGGGGGCCCCCACAGGCAGCGAGTGATACTCTCAAACTGACTCTGGAGCATAGTTCGGCCATGTGCGTCTGCCGTGATGCCGAGAAGCAGAGCGGCTCCGTCTTCTGTACAACCACAAGGATAAAATACCTCCACTGATTTTTACGTGCAGCGTGCACAGGCAGGCAAACAAGCAAAACAAATCACGTTTTAAGGTGAGCACAGAACAACATATTATTGGTCACCTTTATCCCTGAACTGTTGGCACACCTTGCCACGTACTCATTTGGATCACCACCAATCCACCCGACTGTGTTACAGTGGATTATATTTACCGTTGGGGCGCAGGAGATGCTGAAAGCTCTGCAGCACAATGACCTCGAGACCTCCATCCAGGAAGGCATGCAATGGAGGGGCAACATTGTCTCTCACTGGAACCCATGCCATCAGCAGCAAGGGAAAGACTCGGTAATCCTGTAATGTAATTTATTATTTAGTGATGCTGCTTTGGCAGTTGGTGCAACAACCGCACTTAACAACAACAAATATACATTCATCAATAGCAATGCCTTAAATGAGAAAAATATACAATAGGTGACGTTTCAGAAAATGGGCCTTCGTGGTAAAAATACTTGCAAGATGCCATGATATTGTATTGAATAAAAGTCCATCGTGTACCATACCGCGGTCGTATTGTAACGAGTGCAGTGAAACTCCTATCTGGGGCGATGCAGCGGACTGGAGTGGAAGATCCTATTATCCACATTTATCAGTGCAAATTAACCTTTTATCCACAGGAATAAATAGGTATTTATGGGCACAGATAATGGGAGTATTGTATCAGATAGTATAGATAAGGATATGATTAGATTATCTTAATTTGAATATTGGCAGAATCACTATTCGGTCTTGGTATAATCACTGTTTGCATTACCAAAACTTTCAGTCACTGATTTTACCGAGTTACAGTACCTTACGTTAACACGAAAATGCATTGTGTCTGACCGTCACAATACGAGTGAGTTTGTAAACAGTCGGTGCGAGATCTACTTTTACACGACTATTCACCTTTACTAATTTGCAAGCTTGCTTCCAGAAGGCCTCATTTTCATTCCTGCAGTCCAGAATAAGGACCGCTGACTGCTAACAAAAGGGAAAAACAAATTGTGAAACAATGTTTGTGGATTCAAACATTACTTACTATTCAGTGTAATTAGGGTTACAAAAAAGCATACGCTTACAGGAATTATACCAGTCTTCCACCTAGCTTAAAAACCTGTCCAAGTCCAGCCTCTGCCTGTGACTGTCTATCCTCAAGAATAAAGTATTACCCATTGTTTCTGTACAACATCTGAGAGATATAGTCCTATTTATCCAGCATATAAATCCACACAGCATTGCATGATGGCCGAGTAGCGCATTCGGCTCAGTTGATGACGACACAGATGTGAGTTCCGATCCTCACAACGGTTGACATTTAGTATTAATCTTGATTTGAAGCTTTCGTGACTGCAGGTATCCATATTCTTTGGTTTATTTGGTAAAGTCACGTAGGTATAAAAATCATAGATCACGACGTTTCGATCGTTTACAAGCAATCGGCATCAGGTGGGACAGCCACAGCAAAAAAAAAACTGCTGAAGAATTTACCTCAGCATTGTGTGTATCTTTATTGCATTTTAAACGCGAATGAGAATTTTTCCCCAACTCCACCAATTAAGCGTGTGCATTACTCGGGGCAACCACGGCTTTGTCGCGCATGCGCAAATGCGTGCTTTGGTGTGTACTGAGTGGTGTATGTAAATAAATAATAAATAGCACTAACTTGTTAATTTAACTACTTTAAAGTTAATGGATGCGAAAATCGAGTAGCGCTGGCTCACCGCGGGGCTTATGGCGTGGTACCTGGCTACTTTTTTAAAACGTCAACCCCACGGTTCACGAGCCAAATCCTTCGCATGTTTCGTCCACACACAGACACACATACAAAGAATGACGATTATAGGTAAGATAGACAAATCTCTATTTTTTTACATAACCTAGAATGTTTGCCGCATTTTACCTTTAATTGTGCTTTTAAAAAGTATGCTTTGATTTCATTTATCTCAGTGTAAGTTATGATGTCACCATAATACACCGCATTGGCAACTTCAAGAGCACCTGCAAAAGAGACCACACACAGGGTTAGTGGTTGGCGCTGTCATCTGATAAGATCGTACACCTCCGACGAAATCACCGATCAGAGATTTGCCCATATATGGAAGTGGGCGTGGCGTTATCCGAGGGGGCATGTCTTTGCCTATATATGGTAATTGTGGATCGACTATATTAAGCTCCAAGTCGATCAGGCAGCCTTCTTAAAAATGTACGATTTTATCATACGTTTAATTCGACGGCTCACAGACAAAAAACAACAGTATTGATATGCGATTTTTACATAACCTTTTATGAGCGGTTTGTTAATATAGTCGATCAAAGTGCTGTGTTAAATCGCTGTTTGAAAATGTAATTTTTTATACTTATGTGTAGTGGGTTTTATGGAAGTCGGAGACGAATCTTGGAGGCAACACTTTTATTCAATACAAACTGGCGAAACTGCAGTACAGCCCAGTCCTTACACAGGGCAACGGCCCTTCTAACTACTTCCTGGGGAGGTACTGTCTCCGGGCTAGCGTGCCCTATCACGGGGCTACGGCTCTGGGTCCTCCGGCTACGAGTGCCCTAGGGGAGGCTGCACTGACCCGACCCAGCCAAGGTGCGGGTCCTGACCACTGTCATGTCACTCGCATGCGGCAGCGTTACGCAGTGTGCCTGCTGACGTCATGCATCCCCCCCCCCCAAACCCTCCGCGTAGGCCCTGTATCCCGCACAAATGCGCAGCTGGGGGGGGGGGGGAAATAATATACTAGGCTACAAACTTTACATTTGCCATGTGGCTAGCTCCCATACTGTACACAATATTAAACGTTAAAAAATTACTTTTGAATTTTGGGGGGGCAGGGGGGGAATCACCATGAAGTGTGTGGCGTCAACCCGCATACAGGACTGGCGAGAATCGATATCTGGTGAGCATGTGGTATCGATTAAACGGGAATAGGCCGATTCTAAATAAATCTACCAGCTTCGATTCCTTTACTCGATTTAAAGAATCGAATCTTGGCGCGCGAGCATACGTTTTTATTTCCACCGCGCGTTGGGTTTTATTTTAATTAATGAGGTAATGATCTAAGTTTTCTTTTCATTTGTATATGTTGTGTTTTTAAGTTTTGAGAAGTTTTCAAATAAATTTTCCCCCCGGCAACGCCGGGCGCTTCCCGCTAGTATGTAATAAGTGGCTCCGACATGGCAGAAATTTATTCAATAGTTATTAAAGGTTCTTGCACAGTCACGACTCCTCTCGTTCCCGCGGACGCTGTTGTTGCTCTCCGGCATGACTGCGCTTGCCCCGCGCCACGTGGCTGGTGGAGATGGCGGGGCAGCAGCGACGAAGAGCTCCTCTTCGATCTTCTACCACCGACCCAGAGCCTTCCGCTACCCCCTGCTTATATTCGCTTTTGCGAGGCTAAGCCCCGCCTCTGGCCACGCCCCTCTAGGAACCTTTGAGAACGTTCCAGAGGCTTCCATGCTAGCTCCGCCCATTACCCTTCCCCCCAGATAGAAACCTACTACTGATAAGGCGTGGACTGTATGACAGTATGTAAAGTGTAACCCCTCAATTATGCAGGAGATGGCGCTCACTTATTACACTTATAATCCGATGTTGTGCTAATGTCCGCTGTTATCATAGCCGCGATTGAGCATATTCTGGTTGTATACAATACGCGGTTCAAATCAAGGGATCGAGCAATGATGCAACACACCCCCTTAATTTGAATTGGCCAATATCGGCAAGATCGGCGATTCCTTCGCAGTTCCGCTCTCGTTGAAGCCCACCGTTCGCCATGCGATTCTCGTCTCATTCTGAGAGGGCGCGCAAAACTTCTTGCAGTGAAACTCCTTTAAGCCAGACTCGAGCTTCGAGTGTGTGGGATGTTGTTCGATATCGGAGCGACAGCGTCGGGTGGCCGCTCAGACGCTCAAGCCCCATGCCTTTTCCCCTCCGTTCTCCCTTGCCCACAGCCCAGGGAGATAGATGCGGAGAGTCAGGTCGGGCTTTAAAGCAATTTGTTGGTGCCAAATCGCTGCCTGGCAGCTTTCCCAGCTTATCCGCGCTTCCTACTTGGCGATTGCGAGATGCATTTAGCGATATTAAATTAATCCTGAGCAATGTTTTTGTTCAGACTATGGCTGACCCTCGGCAAATGTTGTTGTGGTGTTTCGTTATTGTTTAACACTTGCCCTGGTGCACCTTGTCATTCAGGATTAGGCATTCCTTACTAACATTCGACATTTAGCTGTGCTGTTTATGGTGTTATTATTATGTATGTTGAACTGTGGTCAGGGGAGGCAAGGGAGGCAGAGCCTCACCTGTCATACTCCAATGAAAATAGCTGTTACGAAAAGTAAAAAAAAAGAATAATCAACTAAAATAAATATTAAGATTTTTTCCACTGATCTGTGTTATAAATGTAATTTCTGTACGATTCCAATCATTTTTATAGTCAAAATCGCCAAATTTGCGGAGCTCCGCTGCAAATACAGGAACTCATGAGGTGAGGCAGCGACGAGCTCAGCCTCCCCTCTGATTGCGCAACCTCTCAGTAACTGGATGGAGTGCGGGCAAAAAGCGCATGCCTGTTACTATCTCAGTATGTCACCAATGTAATGTTTGTAGACCCCTTAATTTCATGTTAATGCCTTCCATACTATAGGTAACTTATTTCACGTACGGGTATAAAGATATTTTGGCTCGCTGGTCTCGTCATGAAACTGCAATGAAAAAGCACCAGGGGAGGCAGTGTTGGATCTATGCCCTGTTTTCCGTTATTAATATTAAGAATAATTAAGGAAAAAAAAATTGTTTTTATTATATCTATATATATATATTTTTTTTAATAATGAGGACGGCTCACTTCTCCTCACGGGCACACCGGGAGTCCATGAGACATGGAGGGCGGTTGAAATGATAGGAATTCGGTCACGAAGAGGTCATAGACATCCAGATGGACAAAAAGATGTATGGACTAAACCTCCCAAGACATCTGGAGATGTACAGATAAGGTGCAGAGTAAATAACGGTTGAAACTCGCGTTTTCTTAACGTTTTCCTTACCGAAAAGTAGAAACTTAACATAGATAATTAACCAACAAACAATAATATTATTATTAGTAATTCCCTTATATTCACCGCATACATATTATTTAGAAGTATATGTTTCCTATCTACACAACCTTCCGAAAAACTAAAGAGTACGAATTCCAGAAAGCTTAAGTGCATGTGCACTTAACCTCAGGACATAAAAAAAATTAACTCAGAATAAAACACCAATCTCTGGAGAACTAAACTTGGCGAAGCCCAAAATAATAATGTGACGAGGAGCATTACGAATATTCATTAAACATAGACGAATGATAACCACGATACTAAGACCGAAGGAACTCATAAATATAATTCAAGAATAAATGTAACACACAGGACCACATAAATGTATTGCAAACATCTCCTCGACCACCTTTGTCTTCCAGCGGGGTCTGACCTCAGAATGACCCACTCAGGGTAAGCAAGGAGGGAGAAAAAAAGGTCACAAAGGGGGGGGTTTGTGCTGACATGGTTTGTTTTCTCTCGCAAGAGACGCGGAGAAACGAGAGGGTGCTCACGCTTGAGTTAAACACGGCCGCCTTTGTCTCCCCGCAGCACAAACAGATGGCCCAGGAATGCTTGGAGGGTTAGGAAAAGGTCACGAGGAGGGATCGCGCCGGTGTCTGTTTCTTCTCGCTCTGTTTGTTTTTTTGTTGCCCGCTCGCAAGGAATGCAGAGAGAAGGGAGTCACGTTTTAAGTTAGACAGGCACACAGCGAACGAGCAGTCTGGGTTGAGTCGTGCTCACTCTCGCAACTCGGCGTGCGACGCAGCGTTGCGACGGGGCTCGCAAGAGAGTTGGGGCAGATCGTGCCTCGAGGAGAGATGGAACGACGAGACATCGTTAAAGTGACAGTCTGAGAGCAGTCTGGTCCGAGTCGAGCTCAGCGTTGCGACGGGGCACGCAAGGGAGCTGTGGCAGTCGTGCCTCGAGAAGAGATGGGACAACGAGACATCGTTAAAGTGACAGTCTGAGAGCAGTCTGTTCGAGTCGCGTCTAGTCTCGCAACTTGGCTTGCGACGCAGCGTTGCGACGGGGCTCGCAAGAGAGCTGGGGCAAATCGTGCCTCGAGGAGAGATGGAACGAGGAGGGGTCGTTCGAGTCGCAGAAGTCTGAGTTCAACCTGGGTCGGGGCTGGGTTTCAGTCGTGCTCCGGCTGGCGGAGCGTCGTGAGGACACGAAACACCGATGCCGATAACAGGTGTCGCTTCTCGCAGAACGAAGTTAAGTGCGAGTGAAGCTGGCAGTTGCCCGAACAAAGGAAGCACGGAGCAGAGAGAGTGACGAGTGACGACAAACAATCAACCTGTAAAAGGGCGGAGATCGCCAAGCGTCGACCAAGCGTGCAAAACAGAGAGCGCGAAGCAGTGGAGAAAGCCTGGTCAAACGGCTGTGGAGAGAGAGCGAGAGCGCAAGAGCAGCACGACTCGGACGTCACCGGGCGTCACCGAGCGTCGTGCCAACTCGTCATTCAGCAGTGGAGGAAGCCTGGTCAAACGGCTGCGAGGGAGAGGACAGCGCCATCGAATGCGCCGTGTGCCTGAGGGCACACCGACCAACGACCAGTGTGAACACACAAGACGTCCAGAGCGACGGCGAGCATCGTGCCGACTCAACAATCAATCGAGCAGTGGAGAAGCCGGGGGCTGCCACCAAGAAAGCGCGTGCGCCACCTTGCGCCACCGTGCGCCACCGTGCGCCACCTTGCGCCACCGTGCGCCACCGAGCGACACCGTGCGCCACCCTGCGCCACCCTGCGCCACCGTGCGCCACCTTGCGCCACCGTGCACCACCTTGCGACACCGTGCGCCACCCTGCGCCACCGTGCGCCACCTTGCGCCACCGTGCGCCACCTTGCGCCACCGTGCGCCACCCTGCGCCACCGTGCGCCACCGGGCGCCACCGTGCGCCACCGAGCGACACCGTGCGCCACCCTGCGCCACCGTGCGCCACCTTGCGCCACCGTGCGCCACCGTGCGCCACCCTGCGCCACCGTGCGCCACCGGGCGCCACCGTGCGACACCGAGCGACACCGAGCGACACGAGCGACCGAGCATCTTCAAGGACAGCATCGTGCCAACTCGTCATCTAGCAGTAGAAAGAGAGAGCGCACGAGCAGCACCAAGCCCCGGAACCATCAAGCGCCAAGCAAGCAAGTTTCTTCAAGGAACATCGTGCCAACGCCGCTCAATCCAGCAGTGGAGAGAGAGAGAGAGAGCAAAAGCCGAGCGACACGCCGAGCGAGGGAACAGCAGGAGCAGAGCGGTGGCCACGCCCAACCCAAGAGAACTTCTGGCCGCTGTTCGTATCCTCCCACACCACACAAGCTAACGACACAATTAATATTACGAGGGGACAACGCACACACAGCACGCACACGAATAAGACTTTAAAAGAAAAACTGTCTTTTCGTTTCAAAAAGGGTTGCCATTTCGAGGTGGTGCGTTCAATATCAACTGATCGTGCAAAGCAGTTGCTGCCGTCGAGTTACATGAATAAGAAATGTTTTGGTCATTCATTTTCGTTAACTGCATAATTTCGCCAATGAAGAAGTATTTTTAGTCATTCAATTTCGTTAATTGCATAAGATTGCCCATGAATTTATTGACGTATACTCGCTTTCGCATACTAGAGTGTCACATGCTTGTTTAGAATAAAAATTGCTTCACACCAACTGTTCGAGTGCTTCTTTCCAAGTCCATGCAAAACTGTCTTATTATTGATAGCTGTATCCTGTGATGAGATCTGAACCTGGAGACCTAAAAATAATAAACACACTAAGATAATCGGTAAACGTTTAATCGATGATAATCGTGTTATCCTGATTGATATAACTCTGGATAAACAAAGCTGAGCCTAATTATCACAACTGCACACATTAACATAACCGCAAGCCTCCGCATAAATTACTACGATTATCATAATTTATTCATATAATTACACGCATTATCATAATTTATGCATATTTATACACACACTATCATAATTAATGCGATTTGCGCATTTTTCGGAAAATTATTAATTTTTATTATTTTTATCAAAATTTCATAATTCCAACACATACAACAGCAGCTATCACATCTGCCTCACTGGGGGGGACGTGTCTAACACGCCCCCCTCCGTTAGGCTACGCCCCCTCCGTGAGGCCACACCCCCCTCAGTGTGTGAATCTGGCTCTGACACCAGCCGGTGCCTCCCCAGCCATTGACCTCACCGCACATCACTGCTTCACACCGTACGTAGCCAACCGTGCTAATCGGAGGTGAGGAGGGAAGGACAACGAAACAAAAAATCAGTTCTAAAGAATTAAGTTTTCAATTCAGAATGCAGCCGAGCTTTGGTCTTTGTGTCTCGTCCGGAGTAGAATGGCGGGGGGGGGGGGATCTACACTCTACCTTCATGGAATCAAGCACGATGTATGTAACGAATATCACGCAGGCTAATGTACATACCTTGGTGCGAGGATGGCACGAACACCGAAGTGAGGCCCAGTACTTTCTTCAGAACGTTCAGAGCGAGGTTTATGCCCCCGGTCTCATTCGGGCACTGTATGGCAGATACCTGCTGAAGACAATTACAGCTGCAGTGCACGTGTGGCCTCATGATTCAACCTAGTTCTGTAACTCGTATACTTTCGAAAGCGCGTTCGGTTTACACCTTGTGCCACACAGGGACTGCTGCCACTGATGTAAGGCGATTTGAGTGGCCGAGGCATTTAAGTGCCCTATAAATGCAATTCCTTATCCTGTGTGTGAGGAGGTTAGATTTCATTGCAATGGGATGATAACAATTTCGCCCTTACGTTTTTGCCATGTGGGAAGTTGAACGTACTCCCCGTGAAGCCATGAAATTGATGGTTACGTTTCTTTTGCCACCCGGAGATTATAATTACAGCCGGGTCCACACCCCAAGTGATCAGTTGCGTAAATTGCTTGCATGTGTAGTGGATTTACGGAGAGTGGAGACGACCTGTAGAGGCAACACGTTTATTCTAATAACGGTAACAATAACAGTCTTCTACAAAGGGCAGCGGTCCTTTTACCTCCTGCCTGGGGCGGTACGGCCTCCGAACTAGCATGCCCTATCACTGGGCTATAGGCTACGAGTGACCTAGGGGAGGTTACACTGACCTGACCCAGCCAAGGTACGGGTCCCGACCACTGGCCCACTCGGTCCCGGCCCTTACAAAGACGTCGGGCCCGGGGGTTCCCAGGGTCTCACCACTGGCCCACAGAGTCCTGGCCCTTACAGGGGCAGCGGGTCTAAGGGGTCCCAGGGTCCTAGGCTAGCTGGTCTTCTGGCTTCGGTCTTCGGACTGGCCCCGGACCCGTCCAGAGGCCCGGCTTTATACACCTCCCCAGGTGTCAGCCCCTGGCCACGCCTCCCTTCCAGAGAGTTCCAGGGGGGGTCTCGGGGGATCCTAGAACACCCCGCAGCCCCCCCTGCTTTGCGGCTGGGGAATGTATCGACCCTCATGCCGGTCCAAGTTACTGCCCCTGGTGGGCCCTGTCTGCTACTGCAGGTAAGTATACGTAGCCCATTTACAGCGCTACACATGCAACTCTATCGCTTACACGTGGACATCTCTGCAACCGTTGAATTGTCAGCAGAAAGTAAGAAACTTATGATAGAATTGCAGACAGGGCATCGTTGTGTTGTGACAATTGCAACGTTCAAAAGTGATGCTGGTAACGATGTTGAGGATGATGATGAAAATTATGGTGAAATGATGGCCACATGAACATAAGGGGAGATGACATTGTGTTTTAAAAAGGGGCTGATGTTTGGTTGTCATGGTGTGTGTTTGGTATGTTACATCGGCACCGAGAGAAGTAGGTCACACAGCCGATGAGAACGTGGGTTACATGTTACCACATCCGCTGTAGAAATAAGGCGGTGTGGGAGAGTGAAACTTTTCTTTAAATGATCAGGATCCCAATACCGTTTAATCAGCAAGACAGTGAAATCCTCGAAAAGCAATGGTTAACGAGTCAGCGAACCGGAGGCGTTTGTAAATCCACACTCCTTGGATGTGCAAATTATCAGATCATAGAGGATGTTTCGCTTTTGGGGCAATGGAATGCAACGGGCATTAACTCTGTTCGAAAGCCACGACAGGACTCAAGACTGCCACATCTGTCGAAGCGGCCAAGGCTTGGCAGGAGAAGTAGGCCGAGACGCCCTCAAGCAAACGCAAACAGCACAAGAAACAGAAAGCGTGGGAAACAGACTGCAGGAAAAGGAATGGCACAAGGGAGCGTAGGGATGGGGATCGCTTGGTGAGGGTGATAGCCGTTGTGGTGCAGCAATCGTAATTTTATTTTTAATGCATTTTTTGACAGTTTACCCTCTGGGATCTCTGTTGATATGTATTTGGACTCACAAGCTCTTTAAAAATATTGTTTGATCTCAACATGCACTTACGTGATTATAAAGAAACTCTGTAAAAAAATGTAGAGGCAAATATTTTAAACCTTTCAATCGTTAGAACAAATAACAGGATGAGCTTGTTGATGCCTCACATACAGTCTAAACATTTCTGAAAAACTAAAAGAACACAAAATGAGATTGACTTTACCTTCTCAGTGACCATCTCCGAATACTTTTCTCCAAGCACCCATTTAACACTATAGTATAAGAAGGTCTCCAGGCCCCGCATAGGAAGATACTCGTGATCTTCGGTTTCTGTACAAATGTCTTGCTTTGTTAACTTTACAGGAAGATGTGCCATTCTTGTCTCTTTTGCAGTACACCAAAATCTGTAGATTGAAAAATTATTAATAACCTTTATTTTATAAAGCGCCTCTCATATTGAAGTTTCTCAAAACGCTTTACATAAAACTAAAACTACACTCACAAGTACAGATAAATTCTGATCGAAATATAAATATGATAATAGAATAGCAATTACTACTCTAGAAATTCTAATAAAATGATAAACTATGATGAAAACGCAAAATAAATGCAGAGCAATCCAATCAGACAATACATTTGTATTTTAAATCTTAAGTTCCAGGAAAAAGTCTTCAAGTGCAAATAGGTAGGAAGACGTGATTTAAAAAGTGATACAGACTTGGAATTCCTAACGGAGGACTGAGGAATGGGATTCCAAAATCGCGGAGCCTGGCTGCAGATGGTTCCGTGTCTCCCACAGAACAAGAACAACATCATCAGTCTTGCCTTTGGAATGACGAGTAGAGACCAGAATCAGCTGATCAATGTTTTCGCAGTGGTATATAAAACTTGAGCAGATCAGTGAGCTATTTAGGAGCAAACCCATTCAAAGCCTTATATTTGAGAAGCAGAATCAATTCTGTACATTGAGTCTATAATTTGCTAGACTTTCAGGGGTACAGATTGGTTTCTTACGTAATGGAATAACGGTAGCCAATTTAAAAGCACAGTGTACCACACAGGTGTTAAGTGATTCACTCATTATAGACACAACCAGGGTACAAATGACGTGGAAACTCTGATACCACCACAAGTTTGAATGGGATCGAGGGAACAAGTTGTAGGTTTTACTTTGAAGGCAACGTCAAAGAAGTGTGATGGGGGCGGCACAGTGAGTGCAGTCAAAGGAATACTGTACCAGAACAAATCTGAAGGTTTTCTTAATGTTACTCAGGAGTGGAGGGGCAATTAATTTGTTTTCCTAATGGAATCAATTTTGGAATGAAACAAATCAAGAATCGTATTACATGTTATGATAGAACCAGGTGAGATTGATTTAGAATTATATTTTAATATTTGATCAACTGTAGAGAAAATGTGCATTGGTTTCTAAAGCCATCCTTAATGAGCGTAAAGAATGCAGACCTTGCCGAGTTTAATGCACCCCAATATATATACTGATGTTGCTTCCAGATCTGAAGATGAATCTCCAGACGGTTATCCCTCCATCTAGGCTCAAGCTTTATCTAAAATGTTTAAGGAGTGCAGATAAGTGGCGCCAAAGAGTCAAGAGTATTGGAACGTATTGAATTATAAATAAGAACCTTGTCTTCCAAATAAACTGAAAATTTGAGGGTAAGGATGACCAAATTGATTCGGCAAAATTCCTATATTTAATAGTACGTGTGATTGTGTTCAAAGAAAGTGGCGAATCAAGTTAAAAAAGAATGACAAAGTGATCAGATACAGCAACATTGTACAAATTTAAACTTGATGTGGGCAAACCAGACAACATTGCCGTGGCGTAACGCGTGCATGGTTTGCAAACAGCAGTTGCATTATGTACGGGATTGCAGACAGCGAGGTCAGCTACGGATAAGCAGGTGCAGGCAGGTGGCCTGGGTGACAGCAGACAGAGAGATGCCAGCAATTATGGAAAGAGGCAGTGATTGGCTGGCTGCAAATGCAAACGCGAGTAGGCGCCACGGAGGCGAGAGATAGTGGCGATAAGGGGGAGAACACGTGTGTGAGGCTGGGGAGCACGCCGGCTTAATGAGGGCCATCTGGGGGCACTTAATGAGGAGGGGGATACAAGAGGAACGTGTGAGGCTGAGGGGTTGAGTTGGTTGGAGTGAAGACAAGAGAGAATTCAAGAGAAGTCCGAGACCCCGCTCTCCACACCTCGTCCACTCCAGCGGTGTTAGCTGATCCTCCGCTGGAGGCACGGGCGAGGTTGGAGGAGTGAGGGTAGACAGGCTAGCAGTAGAGAAGCCAGCAGAGTGTATAGTAAGCTAGCGGAATCCTAAGTATGGGTGTGATAAGGCTCGCAACAGAGAAACTAGCAGAGTGTATATTGAGAGGCTAGCAGTGGAGAAGCTAGCGGAGTGTATAGTGAAAGGCTGGCAGTGGAGAAGCTGGCAAAGGGAAATGTAGCAGGCTAGCAAAGCGAGAGAGAGCGAGCGGAGCATAGCAGACGAGCAGTACAAGAGGAGGAGTTGCGATAGAGACGCGTGGTGTTGAACGCGAAGAGTTCTGTACGAATAAAGTGACACGGGAGAAAATAAGAAGTTTTCCGCGTGAAATAACACCTACAGTATGACCAAGATTGTGAGTGGAAAAGTTTACATGTTGGGAAAAACCAACACAATCCAGAAGGGCAAAACATTCCTTCGCAGAGGAATAGTTCGGAAAATCAACATGAATATTAAAATATACAGATAGTCCCCGAGTTGCGATGGTCCGACTTACGATATTTCGATCTTACGATGGCGATACGACGAAATTGTTAAGTATTTTACATTTCGCGTGGTAGGCAAACGCAGCAGCATACGAATCTTGGTGAGTATAGTACAATATGATACGTTACGATACGCTCAATGCATGCATGATACGTAGCTTTAGTGATTTCATTTTAGGGTTACCATGATACAATACGTTCAATGCATGTTAAACGTTTTTATAGCAGATAGGAATGTTTCCTGAAAAAACCTGCTATTAAATTGCAGTTCATATAGGTAGGCTAAGAATGTACCTTTTTTACCCTTACATTTTACTGTGCAATACAGTATTGCAATTAATAAATACATACAGTATATTGTTTATGCAATACGGTGCTGTAAATTGCTCTGTTTTGCTAAATAATCACCATTATTTAAGACTCCTGGGTAGGCTCGGCCATCTTCGACTTACGATATTTTTACTTACGATGGGGTCGTCGTAACGCATCTCCATCGTAAGTAGAGGACTACCTGTACTACGAGTAATATCCGATTGTAAGTAGGATATAAAGATGACAATAAATCAGAAAATTTTGTAAAAAATATGGCATTCGATTTTGGTGGGCGATAAATTAAAATAATGATTAAAAGGCACTGTGCACGTTACCTTAAGGGCCAAACATTTGTCCATGTGAAATAACACGATTACATTTGGTGTCGAAGTGGTAAAGAAGGCTAAGAGAAATAACTTACCTGTCGACTCTTCCGACGATGAGAACGAAGAGGAGGTTATCTCTACTATGGCCCCCGAGAATGTTGCTCAGCCGGCGGAACCAGAGGACAGGTTGCCTTGGGCGCAAGCGAGTGAGCGTAAGGAAACTCCAGCTAGCGCAACGAGGCGGAGTTAGCGGAATGTTGAGGCACATTTGGAGACCACGCTGGTAGCAGTTACGTACTTGTTCAACATGCTGATAGCGGCAGGCCGGACAACATCTACCGAGATGGCGACGAATGCGACTACTCTTCACATCGCTTCAACAATGCCGACCGCGTCCGAGCGAGCAGGCACGGGACCTGCCATTGCAGCGGCCGCGTTAGACTCGACATCTACTTAGCCGACGGTCTGTACAGCTCCATTACGCCGGTTGCCACAGGTCCACGCATTCTCCGTAACCGAGGGCGACTGGACCGCATTTCATTGCCGCTTTGAAACAGCGTATTGCTCCATCGACTGGTCGGAGCACGAGGCGTTGCGGGCCCTGCCGACGGCCCTCGACGATGACTCGTTGGCCGCCTTCTACTAGTAGAGAGGCTAGCGGAATCGTAAGTGTAAGGGAGATAAGGCTAGCAACAGAGAAGCTAGCGGAGTGTATAGTAAGAGGCTAGCAGTGGAGAATCTAGTGGAGTGTAGTGGAGAATCTAGCATAGTGTATAGTGAGAGGCTGGCAGTGGAGAAGCTGGCAGATGGCAACGTAGCAGGCTAGCGGAGCGAGATACCTTTTGACTTTTAAACAACTTTTATTGCCGCCAGCAGCAACAGCACTGGAGGCGATTTCGATTCGAAATACACAAAGTCACCAGCAAACAAATTAAAATAAACGCTACAAATCCACGCGCTGTGGCGCTACAAGCACCGCGCACAACACGAAAGAAAAGTCACGTGGCTGTGGTGGTCATCGCGCACGCCACGGTGACGAGCGAGCGCTTCAGAAGGTGAACATGAGGGTGAGAGAGCGAGCAGGGCATAGCAGACGAGCAGTACAAGAGGAGGAATTGCGACAGAGACATGTGGTGTTGAACGCGAGGAGTTCTGTACGAATAAAGTGACACAGGAGAAAATAGGTTTTCCGCGTGAAATAACACCACTATAGTATGACCAAGATTGTGAGTGGAAAAGTTTACATGTTGGGAGAAACCAACACATTCCAGAAGGGCAAAACATTCCTTCGCAGAGGAACAGTTCGGAGAATCAACATGAATATTAAAATAAGCTAAGAGTAATATCCGATTGTAAGTAGGATATACAGATAACAATAAATCAGAAAATTTCGTAAAAAAGATGGCATTAGATTTTGGTGGGCGATAATTAAAAATTATTATTAAAAGGCACTGTGCATGTTACCTTAAGGGCCAAACATTCAAATGAATTAAAAGCCGGAGTATGTGAGGGGGTTTAATTAAAATTAGGATGATGGATGCCGGTGAGTGCCACCTCGACCAGAAGGATGCGCCTTTTCAACTATTTTATCATCAGAGCCAGCTACTTGGTTCAGCAGGAAAAAGTCCTGGCTGTTGTGCCATGTCTCAATCAGACAGAACTGGGTCACACTTGTGGTCGAGAAAAATAATAAGTAGTAAAGCCTTGCTAGCTAGAGAGCAGACATTTAGTATAGTCATGCAGCCTAGCACAGCACTGATGGAGACACTCGAATCGTACAACGATGGCACGGCGACAGGGTAGTAATGTCCATGACAATGGTGACGGTATTCACAGCGAAGATAACGCCTGGGGTAGTGGGGCCCATAACATAAGACGAAGGCACCACCAGTGACACCCACACCGACAGGCCTAGCAGTGCCTTTGGCATCGAGAAACCGCATGCCACAGGTGAATGCAATGAAAGATACCACTGGCAACCTGAGGCACCCACCCCCCAGCACAGACGCCTCCACAGGTGAGGCCCCACACAGGATGCCGCTGGCAATTTGAGGCAGCCACCCACCAGCACAAATGCAGTGAGATGTTATTGGAATTCTGCGCTAGCCACGGAATGCCAATAACAAACACTAGGTTCAAACACAAGGCTACTCAAGTCGGGCTGTGACAGCTGTATCAACTGTATCAAGTCGGGCTGTGACGGTTCCACCTGAAGACGGAAGCTTGTGTTGCTTCCGAAACGTCGTGATTTTTATTTTATTTTACTTTTATTAATTTTAATGTTTTACCTACGTGACTTTACCGAAAAAACCTAAGAATATAAAGTTATTAGCTCGTGTTGATGATGACGTCAGTGTGACTGGATTGGCACAGTATTGGTGCAAGGAGGAATTATCTCCTCGCTGTGGATCTTCTCCTCGAGTCGTACTTATCCCGATTTATTCTCCAACGACTCGCGACACGTTCACTTCTCAACAAACAGCGAATCGTCAGATCTCCTTTAAACAGCTCCGCTGCTGGCTCGCGTCAGCTTTTCAACTCCTAAAGCTCCTCTATAGCTTATTGCGATGATCTCATTACCGCTGTTTTACGTGTCCTCTTCGGCTTCTCCACCGACTTCCACAATATGTTCAGCGGTGGATCTTTGTCTCGTGATCGGGCGACTTTGGGGCCGTCCATACATGACGTCACGCGATTTTGGTACGTTTTTTACCCCCCCCCCCCTCGTCACACGGCGTCACAAAAAGTCAGACCCCCTCAAATATGAGGTCACAAAGCTCTACCCCCCCCCCCCCCCCACAAAAATATAAAACATGCTTCAAATCGCTTTAAACTATTGTCATTGTAGTGCGTATTTAATGTGGCGCTGCACTCTGATGTTGTAGGAAAAAACATGTATTAAAAAGTCGATTTAATGAAGTAGAACGTGATGTCTATATTTATTTAAAGTTGCGAATTTTGATGTGACGTCACATTTCTCAACCCCCCCCCCCCTCGTTACACATCGTCACAAATGTCTGACCTCCCCCCCCCCAGGTGCGTGACGTCATTTATGGACGGCCCCTTTCCAATGGCAACTCGCGATTGTGCTCGGCCGACGTGAACCACACAGTGTCCTTTGCCACTGCTGGTCTGCCCACGGTTCAGTGGTGGCATGCGTAGATTTACCAAAAATCATGGATTGACCAATGTGTACTAATTATTTATTTCATTTCGTACCCAATCTTTCTCATAAGAAATACAAGTGCTCTCTTCGTTGTGCAAGACAGTGGGGACCTTCCCAATTTGCCAGGCAGTGGGGATTTTGAGGGCGCCACAGTGGCGAGATGTTAACAACCTCACCTGGTATACAGGAGGTCGCGGATTCAACCACGATGCCTGAATATTTGGAGTTTGCATGTCCTCTTCGTGGTCGCGTGGATTTTTCTCCGGGTCCTCCGGTTTTTCCCTCCACATTTTGAATAATGCGTTAGGAGTATTTGGCTGCTATAAATTGTCACGTAATAAGCCACTTCATTGAGCTATCATTGGTGGCCAGGTCGCTTCTAAAAAATAGCTACAGCAATACCTTGACTTTCGTCGCTTCGCTCTTTCGGCCGTTTTAAATTATAACCACATTTCAAATTTCGTCCACGCGCTTTCCTCTTTCGTCCGATTTCATCCCAAACCTTCCACGACGTTCGCGCCACGCGCCATCTTTTTCGTTTAGTTTTTGAATAGAAGTCGTTCAGTGAGCATCTCTTATATTTGTGTGTTTATTCATATGTGAATACTGTAGTTATTTCTGTGATTACACTGTAAACTATTAATAGTTATTTTTGTGATAACAGCATAATACTACAGTGTATATATTTCAAGGTATCATTTTGTTTATTTTTCTTTTATTTCTGTTTATTTAGGTTCCGCACGCATGTGTTATAAAGTTACTGTAGTTATTTGCATGTACGTTGTTCTATTTACTGTAGTTATTTGCATTACGTTTTTCGCCAGCCAAAATAAATTTGCAAGCGAAATAAAGGCTCTGCTTTAACATTCGTCCATTTTTGACATTCGTCCATGCTCTGCTCCCTAACCAGACAAAAGTGCAACGTATTCTCCTGCATATAGTCCGGTGGGCCTTACCTGGTAAAAAAATAAGTTCGTTAATTGGACCTGCACAACTTGGCCATCAATCTATCCTCTGTCGGAGATAAAGGCAGTGCATGTATATTTGACCTCGTGTTCCACTCCTGGTGCGGCACAGCTGATTACTAGAATGAGCACCCGGATTCGGGGGTGTCTCCGGCACATTGAGCCAAAAAAAATTAGGGCTTCGTTTTTTTTCTTCTCAATCTTAGAAATTAATCATTTGCAATTAAGACCACACCTCCAAAAGTGACGTGACTATGTAGTTCCTCTACAGTTTGTGGTGGTTGGTGTTCAGCAGGATTCACAAAGAATATTCCAGGGTCCGCAACGTGAGCACTGTTGACTGGAGGAGCCATATACCATGGAGGACCTCCCGAATGAAACTTGCAACGTTGTCCGAATGTTCCATGTTGACTGGGTCGCCAGGGCTACAGACCGGGTCCTATCATGTGCCCGATACTGGGTGAACATTTGGATGTAGTGGCAGCATACGAGAAGTTCTATATAATAATTAATGACGCTATTATTTGAGTTTTATGCAACTCTGTGACATCCTTAACCATTAAAAATATAACAAAGTATCTGCTTGGTTCTTTCGGTAAAGTCACGTAGAAGGGAAGTAAGAAAATAATAAAAATAAAACATAATAAAATAATTCTCACGACGTTTCGGCCACAACGCAAGCAGCCGTCCTCAGGTGAAGAAACAGGTCTGTCGAGAAGACAGCGTCTGAATGACACGCCCCAGGCTTGGAGCGTCTATTCAAGCTGGGTAGTTCATCAAATTGTTTCAAAATGTATCTGTATTTTTACACCATTTATGTTACAACTATAGAGCCCTTGTCAGTCGGCCAAATCAGAAATAACCATTAACCTTAAGTTGAATCCCTGCAGTCACGAAAGCTTTAAATCGAAATTTAACCTTAAGTTATTTGTAAAATGCTTTAACAGAAACGTGCTACCATTGCCGCTTCTTTGACAGTCATATCAAATGAAAATTGGGGGGGGGGAGCGGGGGGTAATAAGCTTTTGACATTTCAGCCAACTGACCTTCCTTCGTATAACATATTGTCACGTAATGGCATAT